CGTGTTTTTGGAACACGTCACATGTCATCACGTTTTCACATGTGTAATTTCATGTTATCACATGTTGCTTTACATGTTATCACATTAACTTCACATAAGATCACGTGATCACATGAAAATGTGTTTTTGGAACACTTCACACGTGAAATTCAGGTGTTTTTTCCACAAGGGTAGAACAGCTCCTGTCCTTACCTCTATATCTCCACGTTCCTCCACCAGTCCATTCACTGCCAGATTATAAGCAGGGATGGCTAGAGAACAGTAAGGGAAAGGTTTGAATCAATAGATGAGATGGGTACCGGAGAATAGTTAACTGGAGCAGGCAGCTTGAGTTTCTGTGATGCCACTCTTCCAAACTGTTGCTCCTACTCCTTGTCCTGACTTCCTCCTTTCCCCCTTCTCTTCCTCTCACTCTTCCCTCTCCTCCTCCCTTTAACCCTTCCTCCTCCCTCTTCCTCTCCCCGTCTCCATAGTTCTTCTCGTAGGCCAAGCGAGTGGGATTACTTTTGACATGCTAATCTCCCTGTCTGTGTCTCTGGCTGGCGGAAAAATGCTACGGGATGCTTTGGCCTGCGTGCATGTGTCAAAAAGCAAAGTTCTTTCAATACCACAGACACAGGCAGGAGGCAGACAGTCTGTTACTGGTTGTTTTAATATCTTTCCTTTCTCTTTTCTTAGTATTAAAAGGGGGTTACAGGATAAAAGCTACACAGAACAAAACACAAGGACAGGCCCGGGCACACTCACACTACATACAGTGCTATGAAAAAGTATTTTTCCCCCTTTCTAATTTTCTCTACTGTTGCATATTTGTGATACTGAATGGTATCAGATCTTCAACCAAAACCTAATATTAGATCAAGGGAACATAAGTGAACAAATAACACAACAATTACATATTTATTTCACTTATTTCATAAACAAAGTTATGCAACACCCAATTCCCCTGTGTGAAAAAGTAATTGCCCCTTTACACTCAATAACTGGTTGTGCCACCTTTAGCTGCAATGACTCCAACCAAATGCTTCCTGTAGTTGTTGATCAGTCTCTCATGTCGCTGTGGAGGAATTTTGGCCCACTCTTCCATGCAGAACTGCTTTAACTCAGTGACGATGATCCAAAACACACAATCAAGTCTACATGAAAATAGCTAAAAAGCAACAAATTTGATGTTTTGGAATGGCCTAGTCAAAGTCTAGACCTAATCCCAATTGAGAGGCTTGAAACGAGCAGTTCATGATTGAAAACCCACACGTCACTGAGTTAAAGCAGTTCTGCATGGAAGAGTGGGCCAAAATTCCTCCACAGCGACGTGAGAGACTGATCAACAACTACAGGAAGCATTTGGTTGGAGTCATTGCAGCTAAAGGTGGCACAACCAGTTATTGAGTGTAAGGGGGCAATTACTTTTTCACACAGGGGAATTGGGTGTTGCATACCTTTGTTTATGAAATAAATATGTAATTGTTGTGTTATTTGTTCACTTATGTTCCCTTTATCTAATATTAGGTTTTGGTTGAAGATCTGATAACATTCAGTATCACAAATATGCAAAAGTAGAGAAAATTAGAAAGGGGGCAAATACTTTTTCATAGCACTGTACACTCAAGAGTCCATAGTCACTGGTGGACTTACCATTAGGCAGAAGAGGCAATTGCCTCAGGCCTCACATCATCAAGGGGACTCGGGAGCTGGGCATAAAAAAAAATGACATATATATTTCTCAGCTTGAGGGCCCAATGCTCCACTCGAAGCATAATAAATAAAAAATTGCCATCAAAATATGTCTGTTTAAGCTAGAGATTTCAGTATTTTTTTTGCATTGGCTGCGTCTCAATCCACCACATCCACCGATGTCGGCCTTCCGCATCTGCGGTGGAAGGGGTCGTCACTAGTTACCACAGCCAAAATAATCATAATTATGGCTATTTCTAAAAATGTTCTTCTTAAAATCTGATTTTAAACCTTAACCCCAACCTTAACCAGACTGCTAATATTATGGCCCTAACCTTAAATTATGGCCAAAAAGCAAATTTAGAATTTTTACGATATAGCCAATTTTGACTTTGTGGCTGTGGTAACTAGGACAACCGGTGGAAGGTGGCAGAGCTACAGTTGTGTTTGTCAGACCAGGAGACATCATGAAACAATTTTGTGATGTCTCCTGGTCTGACAAACACAGCTATAGCTCTGCCACCTTCCACCGGTTAATCATCTTCTCACGAAAACATCTGTAGCGTCCAAATGTTTTTTTCTACACACTACTATGGCCCCTCTATGGAAAGACGAGACTCTCACGAACACAATGTTCTCCATTTTACTCTACGACCCCTACAAGTACTTGTCTGAAGGTAACCCGGTACTGGTATGAAAAAATTATCCACGTATAAGGTATATGGGTAATTCCAGAGTAAAAATTATTTCTTTATTTTCCTGATATCTTTCAGATATAGGACAGACACTTCAAAACATATTTATTTCTATTTAATTTTTGACTATCTGTTTTTCCATGTATGAATCTATTATTCAATGCGTTTCTATGGGCTAATAGCAGTAAGGCCAAATTCAATGTTTCATCAAATATTTTGTTAATACAGTGGGGGAAAAAGTATTTAGTCAGCCAACAATTGTGCAAATTCTCCCACTTAAAAAGATGAGAGAGGCCTGTAATTTTCATCATAGGTACACGTCAACTATGAAAGACAAAATGAGGAAAAAAAATCCAGAAAATCACATTGTAGGATTTTTAATGAATTTATTTGCAAATTATGATGGAAAATAAGTATTTGGTCAATAACAAAAGTTTCTCAATACTTTGTTACATACCCTTTTTTGGCAATGACACAGGTCAAACGTTTTCTGTAAGTCTTCACAAGGTTTTCACACACTGTTGCTGGTATTTTGGCCCATTCCTCCATGCAGATCTCCTCTAGAGCAGTGATGTTTTGGGGCTGTCGCTGGGCAACACGGACTTTCAACTCCCTCCAAAGATGTTCTATGGGGTTGAGATCTGGAGACTGGCTAGGCCACTCTAGGACCTTGAAATGCTTTTTACGAAGCCACTCCTTCGTTGCCCGGGCGGTGTGTTTGGGATCATTGTCATGCTGAAAGACCCAGCCACGTTTCATCTTCAATGCCCTTGCTGATGGAAGGAGGTTTTCACTCAAAATCTCACGATACATTTCCCCATTTATTCTTTCCTTTACACGGATCAGTCGTCCTGGTCCCTTTGCAGAAAAACAGCCCCAAAGCATGATGTTTCCATCCCCATGCTTCACAGTGGGTATGGTGTTCTTTGGATGCAACTCAGCATTCTTTGTCCTCCAAACACGACGAGTTGAGTTTTTCCCAAAAAGTTCTATTTTGGTTTCATCTGACCATATGACATTCTCTCAATTCTCTTCTGGATCATCCAAATGCACTCTAGCAAACTTCAGACGGGCCTGGACATGTACTGGCTTAAGCAGGGGGACACGTCTGGCACTGCAGGATTTGAGTCCCTGGCGGCGTAGTGTGTTACTGATGGTAGGCTTTGTTACTTTGGTCCCAGCTCTCTACTGGTCATTCACTAGGTCCCCCAGTGTGGTTCTGGGATTTTTGCTCACCGTTTTTGTGATCATTTTGACCCCACGGGGTGAGATCTTGCGTGGAGCCCCATATTCAGCGAGATTATCAGTGGTCTTGTATGTCTTCCATTTCCTAATAATTGCTCCCACAGTTGATTTCTTCAAACCAAGCTGCTTACCTATTGCAGATTCAGTCTTCCCAGCCTGGTGCAGGTCTACAATTTTGTTTCTGGTGTCCTTTGACAGCTCGTTGGTCTTAGCCATAGTGGAGTTTGGAGTGTGACTGTTTGAGGTTGTGGACAGGTGTCTTTTATACTGATAACAAGTTCAAACAGGTGCCATTAATACAGGTAACGAGTGGAGGACAGAGGAGCCTCTTAAAGAAGAAGTTACAGGTCTGTGAGAGCCAGAAATCTTGCTTGTTTGTAGGTGACCAAATACTTATTTTCCACCATAATTTGCAAATAAATTCATAAAAAATCCTACAATGTGATTCGCTAGGTGTAGGCAAAACCATAAACAAATAGGTAAACTGGGATAATACTATAGAGTTAATCATTGTGATTCTTCCACAAATAGACAGGTATTTACATTTCCGTGGTAGCAAGATCTTATCTTTTTTTGCTAACTTTCTATTAACATTTAATAGAGTGAGATCATTTATTTCTTTTGGGATATGTATCCACATCACCATCAGACCATTTTATTGGTAAACTACAAGGTAATGTAAAAGTTGTATTTTTTAGTGATCCAATTGACATTTCAGTCATTTAGCAGACACTCTTATCCAGAGCAATTTACAATTAGTGAGTGCATACATTTTTCATACTGGCCCCCCGTGGGAATCGAACCCACAACCCTTGCATTGCAAGCGCCATGCTCTACCAACTGAGCTACAGGAGAGCCAATACCTAACATTGTACATTTATCATAATGTGGTTGTAATCCAGAGAGGTTAGAAAACAAGAATCATCAGCGTACAATGACACGTTTGTTTTTAAGCCCTGGATTTCTAATCCCTTGATATTATTGCTGGATCTGATTTGAATAGCTAACATTTCAATGGCCATAATAAATAGATATACCGATAGTGAACAACTTTGTACATTTCAGCACCACGGAGTCTTCCTTTGTCCTTTCTGATTTGGCCAATTGTTTGGTTGGAGTTTTTCGGTCTGCCGTGCGTCTTCGACTATTGTAGATAATCCCTTTGGATTGATGCCATTTATTTCAACGCCTCAGGCAAGTAAAACGTGTAATACGTAGCTTTTAGACGGGTTAGTTAACAACATACTGTACATGGTGAGAAATGTAGAGGTGCGCGTATAAATGGAGCAATTGTGCCTTTTTGATGGAAATATGGAGGTGGGATTTTGGAGATCAGGTCATCATTTACGCGCGCTCTCCGGGAATACAGCGGGCCAGCTGGATGTCCTAGGGCACGATGGACACCCTCTTTGCGTGGATGGCACACAGTTTGGTGTCTTCGAACAGACCGACCAGGTAAGCCTCGCTAGCCTCCTGCAGGGCCATCACGGCGGAGCTCTGGAAGCGCAGGTCGGTCTTGAAGAACTGGGTGATTTTTCTCCCCAGGCGCTGGAAGGGCACATTGCAGATGAGCAGCACAGTGGACCTTTGGTAACGACGGATCTCTCTGAGACACGGTGCCGGGCCTGTAACGGGGAGGCGCTCCTGCGCGTAGTCTTGGCGGCGAGCTGCTTTCTGTAGGCTTTGCCACGGGTGGATTTGCGAGCGGTTTGCTTGGTTCTGGCCATGGCACTAGCTTCCTTCTTAGACAGTCGAAGTATAGCCTCGAAATGCCCATGTGAAATGTATAAAGCCGCCAGTGGCATCTGCTGATTGGACACCATCTCCCCACCACCCCGATTGGCCCGTTGCGGAGGCCTCCTCTGTCAGCTATTGGAAGGGATGCTTTGCTTCTATTTTTTAGGACCGCGCGCCCAAAACAATACACTGCGCGCTCAAAACAATACACTGCGCGCCCAAAACAATACACTTTGCGTGCACCCGCAACAATACACTGTGCGCCCAAAACAATAGTACACTGCGCGCGCATACAATAGTACACTGCGCGCGTACGTACAATAGTACACTGCCGGCCCTTTACGCGCAATAATAGTCGCCAAAGTCAAGAGTGAAATCTTATGTTCTAATCTAATGCTAGCCTGCTAATGCAAATGATGCCAATAGTACACTGCACGTACGCAACTGCACACTGCGCGCAGAACAAAGCACACTGCGCACGCGCAACAGCACACCGCCCCGCAACAGCACACTGCCGGCCCTTTACGCGCAATAATAGTTGCCAAAGTCAAGAGTGAAATCTTATGTTCTAATCTAATGCTAGCCTGCTATGGCAAACGAGGCCAATAGTACACTGCGCGCATGCAACTGCACACTGAGCGATGAAAAAAGCACACTGCGCTCGCGCAACAGCACACTGCTGGCCATTTATGCGCAATAATAGTCGCCAAAGTCAAGAGGGAAATCTTATGTTCTAATCTAATGCTAGCCTGCTATGGCAAACGATGCCAATAGTACACTGTGCGCAGGCAAAAGCACACTGTGTGCGCAACAAGACACTGCCGGCCCTTTACGCGCAATAATAGTCGCCAAAGTCAAGAGTGAAATCTTGTGTTCTAATTACCACATGTTCAATAATGGCATTTTCCCCCTTTATTCAGATTACAACCTCTCACTTTCAGTTATTTGAAATGAAATCATCTCTCAAATATCACTATATCTAAAACAAGCCATAGAATGTTGGTTGCAATTTCAATTTAATCATCCAGAAACAACAGAACAAACTCAAATATATATTTTTCTATTAGTGTATCTTTTTTGATATTGTATAGCCTACTTGTTGGTATCTCAGACGACCAAAATCTTAATAATAATCACCATACTTACATCACAAACAATAATTATACTAGTTGACTGCACATAGCACGGACATATAGTAGACTACGGACACTCACTCGTATGGAATGGGTATGGGGACTGGACACGCCACGACCCAGACCCTACTGTTGTCGATCACACATACTAATGTTTCATTCAGGTGCTATCAGAGTTATCGGAAATACCTAGTTCCTACTGGGAAGTTTCATTTGAATGACCCTCCAGTAGGAATTACAAGTGGGAAATAGTGAAAATGTTGTTGCCAATCTTATTGGTTTAAGAACTGTTCCGACTTCAAAAGCACTTCAACACAATCATGTTGGAGTTACAACATCCCATTTTCCATGAGAATGTGAAGCTGGCATAATACAGCATTCAAGTGCTAGTCGGTACTAGGAAACGGACATTTCTGACTTGCTAACTGGTTGAACGCGTTACAATAGCCTAAGTACAGTATATAACATGATTGACATAACCGTAATAATCATAATGGAGAGGCCTTGGAAGTGCCATAAGTGAAAGCCGACATATTTCATTATTTGACATTAACCTCTTTAACATGAATTATGAAGAAAATAGTGTAATCTAGGCTCTACGAAATATGAAATGCATTATGAAGAAAATCGTGTGCTGTTGCCTACACGAAAAAAGGGCCTTTCTGACTAGAAGTGCACCAGTATCCCAAAGTATTAATCGAAATCAAGCATAGAAAACAGCATTGGCATTAATAAATAAAAAAATCCCACAAATTAAGTCGCACGTAAATGTGTGTATTTTCTCATAAATTATGTTCAGAAAATCTAAAACAGTACATAGGCATACATACTACAATGTTTGAAACATTATTAAATAAAGACAACATTTCTGTATATTCACAACGTTTAATTAGCCATAATGAAGAAAAAAAAGAAAAAAAATTGTATGTAGCCTACTGGTTAAATTGGTGTCTTTTCGCACGAATTAAGTAGCACATACAGTGAAGGAAAAAAGTATTTGATCCCCTGCTGATTTTGTAAGTTTGCCCACTGACAAAGAAATGATCAGTCTATAATTTTAATAGTGGGTTTATTTGAACAGTGAGAGACAGAATGACAACAAAAAAATCCAGAAAAATGCATGTAAAAAATGTTATAAATTGATTTGCAATAAGATTATTCGCAAATGGAAGAAACACAAAAGAACTGTCAATCTCCCTCGGCCTGGGGCTCCATGCAAGTTCTCACCTCATGGAGTTGCAATGATCATGAGAACGGTGAGGAATCAGCCCAGAACTACACGGGAGGATCTTGTCAATGATCTCAAGGCAGCTGGGACAATAGTCACCAAGAAAACAATTGGTAACACATTACGCCGTGAAGGACTGAAATCCTGCAGCACCCGCATGGTCCCCTGCTCAAGAAAGCACATATACAGGGCCGTCTGAAGTTTTCCAATGAACATCTGAATGATTCAGAGGAGAACTGGGTGAAAGTGTTGTGGTCAGATGAGACCAAAATGGAGCTCTTTGGCATCAACTCAACTCGCCGTGTTTGGAGGAGGAGGAATGCTGCCTATGACCCCAAGAACACTATCCCCACCGTCAAACATGGAGGTGGAAACATTATTCTTTGGGGGTGTTTTTCTGCTAAGGGGACAGGACAACTTCACCCCATCAAAGGGACAATGAACGGGGCCATGTACCATCAAATCTTTGGTGAGAACCTCATTCCCTCAGCCAGGGCATTGAAAATGGGTCGTGGATGGGTATTCCAGCATGACAATGACCCAAAACACACAGCCAAGGCAACAAAGGAGTGGCTCAAGAAGAAGCACATTAAGGTCCTGGAGTGGCCTAGACAGTCTCCAGACCTTAATCCCATAGAAATTCTGTGGAGGGAGCTGAAGGTTCGAGTTGCCAAACGTCAGCCTCGAAACCTTAATGACTTGGAGAAGATCTGCAAAGAGGAGTGGAACAAAATCCCTCCTGAGATATGTGCAAACCTGGTGGCCAACTACAAGAAACATCTGACCTCTGTGATTGCCAACAAGGGTTTTGCCACCAAGTACTAAGTCATGTTTTGCAGAGGGGTCAAATACTTATTTCCTTCATTAAAATGCAAATAAATTTATAACTTTTTTGACATGCGTATTTCTGGATTATTTTGTTGTTATTCTGTCTCTCACTGTTAAAATAAACCTACCATTAAAATTATAGACCGATCATGTCTTTGTCAGTGGGCAAACGTACAAAATCAGCAGGGGATCAAATATTTCTTTCCCTCACTGTAAATTTGTGTCTTTTCACACAGAAACGCACGAAATCTGCTGAAATACGTTATGCTACCTGTGGCTTTCTCGTGCACGGTTATATGTCAGTAATTTAAACGGCTACGGATAGCGGAAAGCAAACCCCGTATTGAGTCAATACTGACATCTATTGGTAAACATAATCCTTAACATAAATATCCCAGGTTAGTACACAACGATTTTCCTTACATGTTGTGCTAGGTCCTGCAGGACATCACCCCCTTCATCTTCCTGTAAAAAAAAAACGATATAGTTGTAATTACCTGGGATGAACCGGTTGAGGTGGTACCACTCCAGAGATGTGGAGCCACGTATGTAGCAATACACCGGTAGCTTCACTCCGCCCTTGGTGATTGGCTTGCCGGTGTCTGTGTACAACTGTACACCGGGAGGGTCTTGGATGCAGCGGAGGTGACGCCTCTGCTCTTGACAGATTGCTTGGATGCGGACGGGGTCCAGCAGCGGAATGCTCAGGGTGTCATGCCCCTTCTCACTGTTGAAGGTCCCCAGCGTGTCCGTGAGGAGGAGTTCCGTCTCTACAGCTCCACGCGTACAGCGACGGCAGTGAAGAGTCATCTCCCTCCTCCCCAAGTGGCTGTAGACCTCTGTGTCAGTAAGGCCAACCATTCGCAGCTTCCCCAGCTCGGATCGCTTGGCCTCCAGCAGTTGACGGACATCTCCTGCATCCCATTCAAAAATGCAGGACGACAGCTGCCGCATGAACGCCCTATACAGCTGGTGGCTTTCGGTGGTGACACCTGCTACGAACCGCCGCAGCAGATGCCAGATGTCAAGACGAACCACGAGCTGGTCCAATTCAAGAAACATGGAAGCTGTCTTCGATCCACCAAAGCTGGAGCAACAGTCCCGGTCCACGTACATGAGCTGGGGGGGGGGTGGTACCCCAGCGAGTTGGTACCGCTTCATAAGGCCCTCGCCCTCACCAGCAGTGAGGACATGGTTGAGGACCTGCCCGTGTTCATTCCCCACGTTTGTGGCCCAGGCAGCCATGTCCGAAGCGTAACCGGCGAGCTACTTGGTCACCTGAAAAGAGAGAGAGAGGGGGAGAGAGTGAGCGTCAGTGGGATGCGGAGGGATGAAATTATGGTATACTTTCAATATGGTGTGACAAAAGTGTTACCTTCTTTGTGGAGTCCATCTTTAAGATGGACCCGAAGACAGAGGTAACCCTGACCTTCACCTCGTCAAGCCGCGATAGCACATCCATGCTGTACACTGTCAGCAGCCAGACAGGAGAGGGCACCACCAGCATTTCTGGTAGTGGTGGGAACTGTGGCCGGATGGTGCCCGAGGCCAGGAAGTGCTCACACTCGCAGAGGTACTTGTTGTATAGCTGAGTTGCGCTGTTCCCCAAAGCACGCTCCCTCAGCATTCCCACAACTGCCAGGTCACAGGAACGCCTGGAGAGAGGGGCAGTGAGAAAAGGGTGAGGGACACTTAGTGTACTCAACTGTACTACAGCATTAAAAATAAAAATATGCATTTCAACACTTACCTGTAGGTCAGAATCGCTGGAAACTGGCAGCGATGCGCAGGGTCCAGCTGACCCAGGACGTCCTGCGACCAGCCTGCCACCTTCTTCTTACACCGTGGGCACTCCAGGTACTCAGTGGCCATGAGATACTAACCCTTGATGTCCACGACCCTCCGGATAGTCTTGTACAGCCCAGCCTTGGTGAGGGTGGTGTTACACACAGGCTGGGTGCATGTCAGCTTCAATGCCCACATACGAACGGGCATCCAGAGGAACAGCTGACATGCAAAGAAGAGGTCGGGGAGGGTACCACCACGGACGCAAGTCTGTGATGAATAAGGACCTCCCTGAGCTGCTCCTGGTAAACAGCGTCCGGCCAATCCACCGCTGCTGCTCCTTGTTGAGAGTTTCCCGCTAGCTCTCTGGAAGCTGCAGCTGCATTAAGCGAGAGGAGTTAAAGAGAGTTAAAAGTACAATAAATGGAAGATTCATTTTCCAGCGTGACACAATAAAAATATCAAATTACCTTTTGTAAGATTTGCGATGTTACTTTATTCACCTCAGCACTTTCTTGGGCAGGCCTTGGAGGCAGGAAGGACAGCCGGGGCACATCCCCCTCTTCTTCTCTTCGCCCCACCAGGGCAAGGACAGAAGCCAGCGATGGATTCAGGGGGTCCCGGTCCAGGGAGGCACGGGATGGGTCATCAGCCGGACGGGAGGCAGGAGGCAGTGGTGGAGGGACCTGTATGTTCAAGGCTTCATACATAATACATAAATCAGCAAAAAGTGATGATTATGCTCCCCAAGGATGTGATCAGGACAACAGAATCAGTTAAAGCAATATATTGATTTAGGGTTAGGGAATTGAAACAAGTTAAGCTCAGGTTGATGTCAGAAAAGCAGGAAAACTCTGGAAAAGAGCTTTGGAGTGGAAACAATGTCACAAAGTGTTCGGAATCTAATCTATGTTATAGATTTTTTTTAAATAACATGGCACATAACAGGTAAGCAGACACCTATTGTTATGTAACTAAAGTTCTGCACATTGGCTTTCTCCAAATTAATTTTGTGAAACACCTGTTTGATGTAAGTGAACTCTATTATGAAATCATATTGATAAAATTCTAGTTTACATGTCTCTATGAAAATGCAAAATGTTTGATAAATGTGAGGGTTAAACGCCATGGCATATTGAGTATTGTTCCACTGAAGAGAGGTTCGGGGAAAATACTGAAATCCCTAGACTAGGTACCACTAGAGGTGGGCTGTGGATACAGGGAATTATTGGAAAAAAGTGTGTACGCTATTTGTCGCTATATTTCATAACAATCTATTGTCATTGTATCAGTTTAGACTGGTTATAATTGGGAACATAGATTAAATCTATTGTCATTGTATCAGTTTAGACTGGTTATAATTGGGAACATAGATTAAATATAGTTGGGATCATAGGACGACACTTCTAAAAACTTAGAAGACAGTATAAAACGCCATTTGTCGTTGTACTTAGGGCTTGGCCAGCACAACTGGGAACATGGGAGATACTGCTAACGAGTAGAGAGTATAAACTTATTGTCTTTGCACCAATAGGGTGCAAATAGGAACATAAGAGAACAGAGTAGACTAAGTGAAAGGGGTAAGGGCGTGGCAACGTACCTATTGTTGTAAGCATATCCCTACACAGATATATCAAATTATACGACGCAGGTTGTATACCTTGATATAAAACTAATTGGGAATCAAAGACGTCTGTGGCTGTCCAAACTGTATAATTTGGGGATAACTGTTGGGTTTGTGGTTGTTTAAACCGTATATAACCCGTTAATAACAATTGGGAACATAAAGCTAAAGTGATGAATGGCTAGTGTGACTGAACTGAAAGGTTTGAGCTGATATGATTGAACTGTGGCGTTTGATGTTTGACATAGCATAATACTGGTTTTAGGTGCTTGGGTTGAGGCTTTTTGGTTTATTATTTGATTTAAAGTTTGATGTTTGACCCTGCAAAATACTGGTTAAACAATTAGACTGAAATAATTCGGTTTATCGTTGAAATATAAATATGCACCGACTTTAACTAATTAGGTGGGAATAATTTGATTTAAATAAATAGACTAAAGTACTTTAAATAACGGCAGAATATTGGAAACACTAAAACGAAAAACAGCTCCTCAAAAAGCCTGTTCCCGCTGGACACGGAAGAGAGAGTTGCGAGGGGAGGGGCTGGAGACAGCGAAAGTGTGGCTTTTGGAGCCAGGAAAGATTGGGAGTTGGCTGGGAACACCACGGGGCGATTGTTTGAGAGGTGCCTGTGGGTTTCTGACGATATATACGTATGAACTTGCTCACTCGAACGTAGACGTACATCATGGGTGAGAAAGTAGAGAATATTTACATTTGCATTTTTGGTAATTTGGCAGACGCTCTTGTCCAGAGCGACTTGCGGGAGCGACTGGGGTTGAGTGACTTGCTAGAGGGCACATCGGCAGATTTTTCGCCTGGTCGGCTCGGGGATTGGAACCGGCGACCTCTCGGTTGTTGGCGCGGCACTATTGGTAACTAAGCTGCCTGCCGCCCCATATGAGTTTAAGGTTGTGCCGTTGTTTGATCATGTGATAAGGTTTAATGGGTAATCAGACCATAACTAATGTGGTTATGGAAGTAATGTATAGATAGTGGAGAGCCAATAGGGGGCTCCATTGAACTATTATGGTTTATTTGGCATTTCGGTGGCATTTCGAAGTCTGTGTGTATGAGTGAATTCAACGGCTGGTGTGAGTGGTGACCGGATGCTACTGAGTATTTGGTTTGGTAATGTTGAATGGACGATTTGTAGCGTGTTTTGGGGTTAAATAGAAAAACTCACTTATTCAATAGGGAATGGGTGAAGGGAGAGAGAGTTTTTTGCTGAGGTGAAAGCTAGTGCGATTTTCATTTGGTGACGACACTTGCTCTATGAACTGGAAGTAGTTGCTTTAAGAGAATCGCAGATGGTGTGGAGTGACTGGCGATGTATGTAGAGGGTTCCTGGTTCGAACACAGGTAGGGACAGTAGGTAAAGCTTTCGCATTGGGGCAATAGACCTAGATTACTATGGGAAATGTGAAAGGTTGAATTAGATAGCTTAAGTAGAAGTATTCTAGAAAGGTCTATGAAAATATGTTACTAGGTCCCCACCCCTTCCCCGTTGGATAGAAAGGAGCAAGGGGAGGGGTGAGAGATAGTTCAAATGTTAGGAACATCATTAAATGTATGCTTATCAACGATAGCAAGTATTTGTTTTATTAATTAGGGCCTAATCAGAGAGAACAGTTAAAGAAATTGAATAGCGAACTGAAATGGGTTAGCGGGAAAATACAAATAGTTGGTACATTTTAGAACAAAAATTTATTTTAGTTACGGGGAAGCAAGTGGCATTGGCTGTTGTGCTGGGGGAATAGCACCAGCCTGTGGTGGGTTCTGGATTTATTATAAACAAACTTATATTTTAAACTAAAGTGATGGAATAGGCTACAATTATAACATTATCAGAAAAAAGGCACAATATGATGTGTAATAGTTATTACAATTATTATGAATAGTTATTACAGTTATTATCATTGATCCAGTAATGATAGAAGGATAGTAGAGGAAAGGCAAGGGATTAAATCTAATTTAGGGAAAGAGGAAGAGTATGAAGATATATTAGGAAGAAAATACTATTAATTGAGGGATATAAAACGTTTAGCTGAAAAAAGAAAACAGGAATAATTTACCTTACACCCTAATATAGACATTGCATTACTTTTGATGTAACCGTGATTGTATTGGCTAAAAAGTGAAGTATGACATTTACAGGGGGGACAGGAACAATAGAAGGGGAGACAGATTTTCCTAGGGGTTGAACAAATAATTGATAATGGATCATTTGAGATGAGATCACATGTAGCAGAGTTAGGGTAATCAATTAAATAATCATTGTATACTCGAGGAATTTTGAGTGGTTTTATGGATTAGTTTTGAGGAATTAGATTGATACAAACAATTATTGATGGGTTAAGACTGGGGATATCTGTATCATGTTTTGTGTGTACTACCATCTTTAGATTATAACCAGGAGAAAGAGATTAGCTCATCTCATTGGAATGTTGCCCAGGGCTAGGGGGAGCAGTAGTGAAGTTAGGCAGTATTTAGGTCATAAAAGTGAGCTACCAAATTAAGTGAGGCCTGGCTATTTGTGGTTGTTGTTTTTCAATTTGGGTTTTCAGCAGGTCAAGGGTGATAGGTCTTAGAGGAGCAATCACAGTGAATTTTATGGAGTTTTTTAGGTTTTGGCTGAGTTTGGGGTATATATGATTTCTTATGAGAATGAATGTCATGAGGACTTAATGAACACTTGGGATAACTAACATTTATGAAATATTTAGAATAATGGTAATGTTTGGTATACTATGGGATGGAACAGTTCGTTGAATAATTTCAATTGCCTCTGAACTCTGTTTTAACCTTCTGGTGTTAATTAATCATCCACACTAGTAAATTCTAAAGGCATGAGAGGAGGACTTTAAGATAGTTTATTTTACTAAGTTGAGGGTAATTTATAGTGCTGTGAAAAGTGTGAAGAAGATTATAATTTGGTAATAATATATATGATTTAAACCATAAAATAACAGAAGAGAGAGTGGAGGGATGGCAATTGGATTATGAATTACCAATATTACCTAAGTGATTGTTTTCGTAGGTGGTAATATTGACACATGGGCAAATCATGTGTCAAAAGGGGGATGGTAGGATTAAATAATAAATATATACGAAGGAGAGGACAAAATACTTAAAAAACAACAACAATAGAAATTGAAAGCTGAACATGTATGTGTGAAGATAGTTTATTAACCACACCCGTATGTCAGAGGTTTTGTGCCCCACAGGTGAACTAAAGGAGAAGGTGACCCACTCTATCTAACCAGGAGACTGGTGAGCATCCAGTCCCTAAAAGAAGAAAAACTGGAAGCAGGCCTGTTGGGAAGGGCCCTACCAAGTCCTATTAGATCCACCTGGGTGCATGTCACACACTGCAAAAAGGTAAACCCAGCTACACCTGACGAACAAACACAGAGTTAGGAGAAAGAACCGATCACCACTAGGGCTCGGGGGTTGGCTCCTTAACGAAGATTCCCTTACCCTGTCTGATCATCCCTGTGTGAGTTCGATAGAAGGTAAAGCAATGGGTTGGCCTCTGGCGTCTGACATGTTCTCAGGGCGAGGGTGGGGATTCACAGGTCTCCCGACGGTAGGTAGCTGTCTGATTGTGGGGGCCACACTCAAACCCTCCTGATCAGCCAGAAGTAGTAGTTAACCTAACACAAGTTGATAAAATAATACCTGAGCACAGTCTACGAAGGCATAGGAGACAGCTAGACGTAGGGAAAGGGGAAGTACTAGGGACTGTAGGGAAGGACATCACCATATGTAGTGGTGGAATTGATTTGTGTGCATCTGTAGTTGACCACCAGGTTTGCACACATCTCAGGAGGGATTTTGTCCCACTCCTCTTTGCAGATCTTCTCCAAGTCATTAAGGTTTCGAGCCTGACGTTTGGCAACTCGAACCTTCAGCTCCCTCTACAGATTTTCTATGGGATTAAGGTCTAGAGACTGGCTAGGCCACTCCAGGACCTTAATGTGCTTCTTCTTGAGCCACTCCTTTGTTGCCTTGACCGTGTGTTTTGGGTCATTGTCATGCTGGAATACCCATCCATGACCCATTTTCAATGCCCTGGCTGAGGGAAGGAGGTTCTCACCCAAGATTTGACGGTACATGACCCCATACATCGTCCCTTTGATGCGGTGAAGTTGTCCTGTCCCCTTAGCAGAAAAACACCCCCAAAGCATAATGTTTCCACCTCCATGTTTGACGGTGGGGATGGTGTTCTTGGGGACATAGGCAGCATTCCTCCTCCTCCAAACACGGCGAGTTGAGTTGATGCCAAAGAGCTCGATTTTGGTCTCATCTGCCCACAACACTTTCACCCAGTTCTCCTCTGAATCATTCAGATGTTCATTGGCAAACTTCAGACAGGCCTGTATATGTGCTTTCTTGAGCAGGGGGACCTTGTGGGTGCTGCAGGATTTCAGTCCTTCACGACGTAGTGTATTACCAATTGTTTTCTTGGTGACTATGGTCCCAGCTGCCTTGAGATCATTGACATGGTCCTCCTGTGTAGTTCTGGGCTGATTCCTCACCGTTCTCATGATCATTGCAACTCCACGAGGTGAGATCTTGCATGGAGCCCCAGGCCGAGGGAGATTGACAGTTATTTTGTGTTTCTTCCATTTGCGAATAATCGCACCAACTGTTGTCACCTTCTCACCAAGCTGCTTGGCAATGGTCTTGTAACCCATTCCAGCCTTATGTAGGTCTACAATCTTGTCCCTGACATCCTTGGAGAGCTCTTTGGTCTTGGTCATGGTGTAGAGTTTGGAATCTGATTGATTGATTGCTTCTGTGGACAGGTGTCTTTTATACAGGTAACAAGCTGAGATTAGGAGCACTCCCTTTAAGAGTGTGCTCCTAATCTCAGCTCGTTTCCTGTATAAAAGACACCTGGGAGCCAGAAATCTTTCTGATTGAGAGGGGGTCAAATACTTATTTCCCTCATTAAAATGCAAATCAATTTATAACATTATAGACTGATAATTTCTTTGTCAGTGGGCAAACGTACAAAATCAGCAGGGGATCAAATACTTTTTTCCCTCACTGTATATATATATTTATTATCTATGAATAGCATACCTGTTTCATTATATTTGGTCTTCCACACTACCTTAAGCATTAAGACATAATTAGGCTTTATACCTATTATTTATATAGTTTTGGCCTTGTGAAACCGCTCTCAATTTGGCCCCATGAAGTATGGTTGGTGGTCATTTTGGACGAGATGGGTCCCATTTTGTCTGGCGAAAACCAAACACTGCATTCCACAGTAAGAACCTCATACCAACGATCAAGCATAGTGGTTGTAGCGTGATTGTTTGGGAATGCTTTGCTGCCTCAGGACCGGGACGACTTGCCTTAATAGAAGGAACCATGAATTCTGCTCTGTATCAGATAATTCTACAGGAGAATGTCAGGCCATCCGTCTGTGAGCTGAAACTGAAGCGCAGCTGGGTCATGCAAGACCAAAACAATAACATAGTTTCATATTTCTAGAGTGCATAAAAAAGGGAATGCCATTTGGGCGGTGTCCCTAATAGCTGAAATATTATATCATTCTCATTACATTTACGTCAATTAGCAGACGCTCTTATCCAGAGCGACTTACAAATTGGTGCATTCACCTTATAGCCAGTGGGATAACCACTTTACAATGTTTTTTGTTTTTTTGGGGGGGTGGGGAGGGGGAGTTAGAAGGATTACTTTATCCTATCCCAAGAGGTGGGGTTTCAAGTGTCTCTGGAAGGTGGTGAGTGACTCCGCTGTCCTGGTGTCGTGAGGGAGCTTGTTCCACCATTGGGGTGCCAGAGCAGCGAACAGTTTTGACTGGGCTGAGCGGGAACTGTGCTTTTGCAGAGGTAGGGGGGCCAGCAGGCCAGAGGTGGATGAACGCAATGCCCTCGTTTGGGTGTAGGGACTGATCAGAGCCTGAAGGTACGGAGGTGCCTTTCCCCTCACAGCTCCGTAGGCAAGCACCATGGTCTTGTAGCAGATGCGAGCTTCAACTGGAAGCCAGTGGAGTGTGCGGAGGAGTGGGGTGACGTGAGAGAACTTGGGAAGGTTGAACACCAGACGGGCTGCGGCATTCTGGATGAGTTGTAGGGGTTTAATGGCACAGGCAGGGAGCCCAGCCAACAGCAAGTTGCAGTAATCCAGACGGGAGATGACAAGTGCCTGGATTAGGACCTGTGCCGCTTCCTGTGTAAGGCAGGGTCGTACTCTCCGAATGTTGTAGAGCATGAACCTACAGGATCGGGTCACCGCCTTGATGTTTGCGGAGAACGACAGGGTGTTGTCCAGGTTCACGCCAAGGCTCTTCGCACTCTGGGAGGAGGACACAACAGAGTTGTCAACCGTGATGGCGAAATCATGGAACGGGCAGTCCTTCCCCGGGAGGAAGAGCAGCTCCGTCTTGCCGAGGTTCAGCTTGAGGTGGTGATCCGTCATCCACACTGATATGTCTGCCAGACATGCAGAGATGCGATTCGCCACCTGGTTATCAGAAGGGGGAAAGGAGAAGATTAGTTGTGTGTCGTCTGCGTAGCAATGATAGGAGAGGCCATGTGAGGATATGACAGAGCCAAGTGACTTGGTGTATAGCGAGAATAGGAGAAGGCCTAGAACTGAGCCCTGGGGGACACCAGTGGTGAGAGCACGTGGTGCGGAGACAGCTTCTCGCCACGACACTTGGTAGGAGCGACCGGTCAGGTAGGACGCAATCCAAGAGTGAGCCGCGCCGGAGATGCCCAGCTCGGAGAGGGTGGAGAGGAGGATCTGATGGTTCACAGTATCAAAGGCAGCAGACAGGTCTAGAAGGACAAGAGCAGAGGAGAGAGAGTTAGCTTTAGCAGTGCGGAGAGCCTCCGTGACACAGAGAAGAGCAGTCTCAGTTGAATGACCAGTCTTGAAACCTGACTAGTTTGGATCAAGAAGGTCATTCTGAGAGAGATAGCAAGAGAGTTGGCTAAAGACGGCACGCTCAAGAGTTTTGGAGAGAAAAGAAAGAAGGGATACTGGTCTGTAGTTGTTGACATCAGAGGGATCGAGTGTTGGTTTTTTGAGAAGGGGTGCAACTCTCGCTCTCTTGAAGATGGAAGGGACATAGCCAGCAGTCAAGGATGAGTTGATGAGCGAGGTGAAGTAAGGGAGAAGGTCACCGGAGATGGTCTAGAGAAGGAGGGGATAGGGTCAAGCGGGCAGGTTGTTGGGCGGCCGGCCGTCACAAGTCGCAAGATTTTATCTGGAGAGAGAGGGGAGAAAGAAGTCAAAGCATAGGGTAGGGCAGTGTGAGCAGGACCAGCAGTGTCATTTGACTTAACAAACGAGGATCGGATGTCGTCAACCTTCTTTTCAAAATGGTTGACGAAGTCATCCACAGAGTGCGAGGGGGGGGGGGGGGGGGGATTCAGCAGGGAGGAGAAGGTGGCAAAGAGTTTCCTATGGTTAGAGGCAGATGCTTGGAATTTAGAGTGGTAGAAAGGGACTTTAACAGCAGAAACAGATGAAGAAAATGTAGAGAGAAGGGAGTGAAAAGATGCCAGGTCCGCAGGGAGTCTAGTTTTCCTCCATTTCCGCTCGGCTGCCCGGAGCCCTGTTCTGTGAGCTCGCAATGAGTCATCAAGCCACGGAGCTGGAGGGGAGGACCGAGCCGGCCGGGAGGATAGGGGACATAGAGAGTCAACGGATGCAGAAAGGGAGGAGAGGAGGGTTGAAGAGGCAGAATCAGGAGATTGGAGGGAGAAGGATTGAGCAGAGGGAAGAGATGATAGGATGGAAGAGGAGAGAGTAGCGGGAGAGAGAGAGCGAAGGTCACGACGGCGCATTACCATCTGAGTAGGGGCAGAGTGAGTAGTGTTGGAGGAGAGCGAGAGAGAAAAGGATACAAAGTAGTGGTCGGAGACATGGAGGGGAGTTGCAGTGAGATTAGTAGAAGAACAGCATATAGTAAAGATGAGGTCAAGCGTATTGCCTGCCTTGTGAGTAGGGGGGGACGGTGAGAGGGTGAGGTCAAAAGAGGAGAGGAGTGGAAAGAAGGAGGCAGAGAGAAATGAGTCAAAGGTAGACGTAGGGAGGTTGAAGTCCCCCAGAACTGTGAGGGGTGAGCCATCCTCAGGAAATGAACTTATCAAGGCGTCAAGCTCATTGATGAACTCTCCAATGGAACCTGGAGGGCGATAAATGACAAGGATGTTAAGCTTGAATGGGCTAGTGACTGTGACAGCATGGAATTCAAATGAGGAGATAGACAGATGGGTCAGGGGAAAAAGAGAGAATGTCCACTTGGGAGAGATGAGGATTCCTGTGCCACCACCCCGCTGACCAGATGCTCTCGGGGTATGCGAGAACACATGGTCAGACGAGGAGAGAGCAGTAGGAGTAGCAGTGTTTTCAGTGGTAATCCATGTTTCCGTCAGCGCCAAGAAGTCGAGGGACTGGAGGGTAGCATAGGCTGAGATGAACTCTGCCTTGTTGGCAGCAGAACGGCAGTTCCAGAGGCTGCCTGAGACCTGGAACTCCACGTGGGTGGTGCGTGCAGGGACCACCAGGTTAGAGAGGCAGCAGCCACGCAGTGTGAGGCGTTTGTATAGCCTGTGCGGAGAGGAGAGAACAGGGATAGACAGAGGCATAGTTGACAGGCTACAGAAAATGGCTACAATAATGCAAAGGAGATCGGAATGAAATGAACTAAACATCTGGGAAAGGAGAGAGCGGGGCCTCCCTCACCACAACACCCAAATATAACTCTCCCAACTTCCACCTCAGAAACTATAATTGTTGTAAACTACAGCGGTTTAATGTTTTCTAGGAATAGACTAACTTAGTTTATTCAGCTAGCTAACTTGGTACAGTATTCTTCCGTGAAAATCGTCCAGGGCACCTAGTCATAAGACGCCACAGCCAGCTAGCATGCCGGACTCCAACAACACGGTTTAGCACCATTACTCGGCCACAACAAACCACCAGTGTGTCAACACGCCAAGCAGATAATTTGTGTCCGTGTCTAACATTGTGGGTTAGTCCCGACAGCTTGAGCGAGTCCGTCGTCAACTTATTCAGCCAGTTAGTTAGCTAGAATAGTTAGCATACTAGCTAGCCATTGCTTTCAGACAAAGAAGAAACCCCTCCTTTCACGGCACGAACACACAGAGAGAGCCAAGCTAACGTTAACTAGTCACCCATGTCGCGAATTCCATTGAACGACTCTGGCAACCAAAATGTAAAAAACAAAACACAAATGTAGGTTATAACTTACCCCTAGCAGCTACTGTTAGCTAGCCAAGTGCAAAGCTAGCCACTGAATTGACTCAGCCAGTTCGTGTCTGTTCGCTAGGTCATTCCAGCTATTGTTTACTAATAGCTATCCAGGTAGCAACAAGCTAGCTGAATTTCAAGTACAGTAGCCACTTACTACCTAACGTAAACGCTTCAGACAATGAGGTTAGAAAACAGCTGAATGGTAGGCATTATTGTATGTAATTATTGTAGGCAGCCAGCTGGCGTAATTACAGGCACTCTCAGGCGTGAAACAACTATCCACCGTTGCTAATAGTTGCCAGTAGCTACCCGCTAGTTAGTCCAGGTAGTGGGTTAGCTAGCTAGCTCCGTGCTTCACCGGGCTCAGCCGAATACAATACTAACGTACAATAATTACATACAACAACCCACGATAACTACCTACAATACCTAACTACAATCTAAATACATAGTTTAAGCTTTACTCGACAAAGCCCAAACTATGTATAAAGCCAAGCTTACCTCACGCCAGAGAGAGACACAACCTCACCCAACAACCTCCTGCAGCAGTAGTCATGACCAGGAAGGAGGAAGAAATTGTGCCTGTTTTGCATACGCATAAGGAAGGAAGAGTTTTCTTTACAGAATGTAGTGCACTATATAAGGAATAGAGTTCCATTTCAGACGCAGACAGCGGGCTTCAAGGCTTCAATGTTACTGTAGGCTTCAATATGCAATTAGGGAGTGGGTTCTGGCAGTTGTAGATACAGAAGTTAGTTATACAGTGGGGAGAACAAGTATTTGATACACTGCCGATTTTGCAGGTTTTCCTACTTACAAAGCACGTAGAGGTCTGTAATTTTTATCATAGGTACACTTCAACTGTGAGAGATGGAATCTAAAACAAAAATCCAGAAAATCACATTGTATGATTTTTAAGTAATTAATTTGCATTTTATTGCGTGACATAAGTATTTGATACATCAGAAAAGCAGAACTTAATATTTGGTACAGAAACCTTTGTTTGCAATTACAGAGATCATACGTTTCCTGTAGGTCTTGACCAGGTTTGCACACACTGCAGCAGGGATTTTGGCCCACTCCTCCATACAGACCTTCTCCAGATCCTTCAGGTTTCGGGGCTGTCGCTGGGCAATACGGACTTTCAGCACCCTCCAAAGATTTTCTATTGGGTTCAGGTCTGGAGACTGGCTAGGCCACTCCAGGACCTTGAGATGCTTCTTACGGAGCCACTCCTTAGTTGCCCTGGCTGTGTGTTTCGGGTCGTTGTCATGCTGGAAGACCCAGCCACGACCCATCTTCAATGCTCTTACTTAGGGAAGGAGGTTGTTGGCCAAGATCTCGCGATACATGGCCCCATCCATCCTCCCCTCAATACGGTGCAGTCGTCCTGTCCCCTTTGCAGAAAAGCATCCCCAAAGAATGATGTTTCCACCTACATGCTTCACGGTTGGGATGGTGCTCTTGGGGTTGTACTCATCCTTCTTCTTCCTCCAAACACGGCGAGTGGAGTTTAGACCAAAAAGCTCTATTTTTATCTCATCAGACCACATGACCTTCTCCCATTCATCCTCTGGATCATCCAGATGGTCATTGGCAATCTTGAGACGGGCCTGGACATGCGCTGGCTTGAGCAAGGGGACCTTGCGTGCGCTGCAGGATTTTAATCCATGACGGCGTTGTGTGTTACTAATGGTTTTCTTTGAGACTGTGGTCCCAGCTCTCTTCAGGTCATTGACCAGGTCCTGCCGTGTAGTTCTGGGCTGATCCCTCACCTTCCTCATGATCATTGATGCCCCACGAGGTGAGATCTTGCATGGAGCCCCAGACCGAGGGTGATTGACTGTCATCTTGAACTTCTTCCATTTTCTAATAATTGCGCCAACAGTTGTTGCCTTCTCACCAAGCTGCTTGCCTATTGTCCTGTAGCCCATCCCAGCCTTGTGCAGGTCTACAATTTTATCCCTGATGTCCTTACACAGCTCTTTGGTCTTGGCCATTGTGGAGAGGTTGGAGTCTGTTTGATTGAGTGTGTGGACAGGTGTCTTCTATACATGTAACCTGTCTTAGGTCAGTTAGGATCACCACTTTATTTTAAGAATGTGAAATGTCAGAATAATAGTAGAGAGAATTATTTATTTCAGCTTTTATTTCTTTCATCACATTCCCAGTGGGTCAGAAGTTTACATACACTCAATTAGTATTTGGTAGCATTGCCTTTAAATTGTTTAACTTGGGTCAAATGTTTTGGGTAGCCTTCCACAAGCTTCCCACAATAAGTTGGGTGAATTTTGGCCCATTCCTCCTGACAGAGCTTGTGTAACTGAGTCAGGTTTGTAGGCCTCCTTGCTCGCACACGCTTTTTCAGTTCTGCCCACAAATGTTCTATAGGATTGAGGTCAGGGCTTTTTGATGGCCACTCCAATACCTTGACTTTGTTGTCCTTAAACCATTTTGCCACAACTTTGGAAGTATGTTTGGGGTCATTGTCCATTTGGAAGACCCATTTGCGACCAAGCTTTAACTTCCTGACTGATGTCTTGAGATGTTGCTTCAATATATCCACATCATTTTCCTTCCTCATGATGCCATCTATTTTGTGAAGTGCACCAGTCCCTCCTGCAGCAAAGCACCCCCACAGCATGATGCTGCCACCCCCGTTCTTCACGGTTGGGATGGTGTTCTTTGGCTTGCAAGTTCCCCCTTTTTCCTCCAAACATTCTGATGTCTTGGCTGATTTCTTTTGATTTTCCCATGATGTCAAGCAAAGAGGTACTGAGTTTGAAGGTAGGCCTTGAAATACATCCACAGGTACACCTCCAATTGACTCAAATGATGTCAATTAGCCTATCAGAAGCTTCTAAAGCCATGACATCATTTTCTGGAATTTTCCAAGCTGTTTAAAGGCACAGTCAACTTAGTGTATGTAAACTTCTGACCCACTGGAATTGTGATACAGTGAATTATAAGTGAAATAATCTGTCTGTAAACAATTGTTGGAGAAATCACTTGTGTCATGCACAAAGTAGATGTCCTAACCGACTTGCCAAAACTATAGTTTGTTAACAAAAAATGTGTGGAGTGGTTGAAAAACAAGTTTTAATGACTCCAACCTAAGTGTGTGTAAAACTTCCGACTTCAACTGTAAATAGTAAATCATTTATGGACAACTACATGTACATTGCCAGCAATGTTCCCTCTAAGCTGCGCGCATGCCCGGGCACGCAGCTCCCCTCGCCACGTAGAAGAAATATCAGCCCACGCAGAGAGAAGCACGAGATTGAACTTCACTCAACGTTCTAGAGTTTTCCCCTTTAGTTAACACTACCAACATTTCACTCTAGTACTGTGAGAATTGTGCTCGAATGAACGCAATATAGCCACTATTAATGTTACATATCGAAACAAAATGAACTATGCAAGACTTAGTATGCAAAACTAACTGTGCAAGATATTTTCTTGTAGGCAGAGAGCATTGGAGTAGGATTATATTGCACTTACAGGCACGACTCAGGCCTGTACTCTACACAGACCGGTGCGCCATAACCAATCAGAGCTGCAATAGGCCCATTGCCATATATGGTCTGTGCCATTCACTTTGAACTGGACTGTGTTTATAGCATGAGCGGTCGCGAGTAGATTCGCTTGTTTGGATACCAAAGCGAGAGCTGCATGTAGCCACCTGTGCACATTTGTTCATATTATTTGCTAGTTAGTGAGTTATTAGCCCAGTTGTAGCTAATTTATAGTCAACAATGGGGGAGTGGTTGCTTTCTACAAGAGCACAACATGTGTGAAAAGCCAGTCAGGTAAAGAGCTTTTTTTATGTCTTAAAGGGGCAGTGTTGTATTTTGAGATGGTCTTGAATAAGCAAAGTAGCCAATAGGCAGAGGGTAGCTTAATTTGTCTGTTTCTCTCTAATAATGGTATGGGAATAATTATTAATGTTATTTTGTAAAGTGTTTTTTTGCATCAAACAACAACATTTTCAGTCACCTCCTTGTCTGAAGGACAAGTGGATAAACAGGTTAATGTCAAGCCCTGCATATTTTTTTCAAAAGTCTCATGGAATGTAGGCTTACATTGAACACCACACATTTGCTGCTACTGAAAGAACAGCTATTTCCATGTTAAAATGTTATGGGATGCATTTTTCTCCATTGTTTTTGATGGTAGGCCACTCTGGTAGGCCTACATTATGATCAAATAGCCACAGCAGCCTACTTGGCCACTGTTAAAACTGTAACTTAAAGCGGATACAGCTTCAGTGTTCACAGTAAACGCATGTTGGAAGTTGCACATAATTTTCACAATGTTCAAGTTTGCTCTCAGGAGACCTGAAATTTGCTCAGTGACTAATTTTTTTTGGAGGGAACATTGGTTGCCAGGTAACCATACTTGAATCCATGAAGTGAAACCCAATGTTGCGTTCAGCTTAGCGTACCACCCTCTGTAGTGCCTTGCGGTCAGCGACGGGGGAGTTGCCATACCAGGCTGTGATGCAGCCCGACAGTATGCTATCGATGGTGCTCCCGTAGAACAGGAGGGCCCTCTGGGACAGGCCAAATTTATTCAGCCTCCTGAGGTTAAAGAGTCGCTGTCGTGCCTTCTTCAATACAGTGTCCGTGTGGTTTGACCATTTCATCTTTTCGGAGATGTGTAAGCCGAGGAACTTGAAGTTATTGACCGTCCTCACGATGGCCTTGTTGATGAGGATGGGGGCGTGCCCAGCCTGGTTCCTCCTGAAGTCCACAATCAACTCCTTTGTTTTGCTGACATTGGGGCAGAGGTTGTTTACCTGGCACCACACCATGCCTACCTCCTCCCTGTAGGTCGTCTTGTCGCTGTTGGTAATCAGGCCTACTATTGTCGTGTCGTCAGCGAACTTGATGATAGAGTTGGAACGGTGTTCCTAATGTTTGGTATACTCAGTGTATACAGTGTTAATGTTTAAACTCTGATATTTCATAACCAATTACTCAAAGCACCTACAGTTTACCTCATCTACTTCTGCACATACGTAATTGTTCCATTTTCCTCACCACTTCCCTGTTCACAAACCAAAGGAGAAAACCTTTAGCCTACATCTTACAGCAGGGGTGGGCAAACCTTTTGGCTCAAGGGCCACATTTAGTTTTTGAAAAAGAAAAGGGCCACATACTATATGCGTGACAAAACATGTGAAGCCTTTATTCATTTTCACATTGACACGCAACTACTAGTGTACTGTAGGTGTATATATGCTTGCAGAACAATTCTACCCTTATACCATCTCTACCCTTGTTTTTGTGAACACATTTTTCAAGGAACATACCCATCTCCCCTCTCAGTTCACACACAAGGCGAAATACTTTTCCCAGGCTTAGCCAGCGCACATTTGAATGGTACAACAAGTCCTGGTGCTCTGCCTCTATGTCATTGAGCAGCTGAATGAACTGACGATGGTTAAGCCCCCTTGCCCATAAAAAGTTGACCAATTTTACAACCACTTTGACAACATTTTCCAGCTTTAACACACTTTTACACAGGGCTTCCTGATGAATAATACTGTCCATTTTTCTTTAAACACACGACATTCAGAGTCCACTTTTCTCATTTTCGCAGCACTCATTTTTCACGTCAAAAGTCGTCAAGCAATGAAGTGGCAATGATGACTGAGCGCACGCATTCTGAATCTGACTGTAGGCCCAAATACAGAGCGCGGTGCCAGGCTACGGCGCCATCTATTGGAGGTTGTTTGTATATCATGGAATTAGTCATTTTTAACCAAAAATCGTAACTGAAATATAATCATATTTAAAACATTTTTAAAATGTGGGCCATAGTTTGCCCCCCCTTGTCTTACAGTATACATTGGGGGGGATTTAAGGAATCTTAAATCACATTGTCCGCTCCACTTCCCTTTTGCCAAACAAAGGGAGAAAACTATTACATTTTATGGTACAAATGAGACTAGGTGGGACATTTTACGCCTACTTGGACTTAATAGTTAGTAAGTGAAGAAATGACTTTCGAATCTTTGGAATGGGCAGATATTGTATTCAAGATTCATTTAAATTGACAGATTAGATTGTAGTTTACACAATATCCTTTAATCACAAAATCACATTGTTTGGTCACATAATGGGACTATATTAACCCACTGTATTCAAAACATTAATAGTTAATCAGTCAATTAAAGATTAAATAATTGAAAGATTGTGCTGGATATAGTTTATCATCCCATTATAGAGGATAGTAACATCTTATCTGAAAAAAAAAGAAAAACCCTTGAATGAGTAGGTGTGTCTAAACTTTTGACTGGTACTGTATATACATTTTTGACTTTGCTCTGCCTCCAGGTCAAGATTCATCCCAATAAACGTAAACCTGACAGTTTTCAAGGGAGATGTGAGAGAACCACCTGCTGAAAATGTAAATTATTGTGACGAAACATGCAAAGCATTTTGAGCATACTAACCATGAATAATAACTCTGACCCTTGTGCTCTCCATTCCACCCTGGAGTGATGTCACAACTCAGCATAAGTGATCAGCCATTACCCCGGGCCACAGCTGTCCTGCCTATTGGCACCAATCAGTGGCCATTCTCATGTGTTAGTTCGAAATGGCACCCTATTCACAATATAGTGCCCTAGGAGTCCTAGTCAAAAGTAGTAACACTGTATAGGGAATAGGGTGTCATTTGGGACGCCTTTTTGAAGGTGGTCGGTTGGTGTCGTTCTGTGTAAAACCACTCCAATGTTGACATATTGATTTTGTGCAAAGACATCAATACACTACACCAGGGCTATTCAACTATATTCTTATGGGGACTAGATGTAAAAAAGGTTAATTGCAGGGGGGGCGGACATTTTCCAAATGCAATTATTCTTCGGAAGAACTGCATAAAAAAGCAACGCAACCACCAATAAAGCACTTTTCTTAAAATTGAATGTTGCTAAAAGTAACTAGGATAGAAGTGGAGAGCACTCAACCAACGTGAATCGATGTGCAACCCAAAAATGTGATCATCATAGAAAAGGAGCAATGCTCGCTCACCATTATTTTGTTTATTTAAACAACTAGCCTATTAAAAGCTTCTTAAAAGAAATAAGTCATTTTTAAATAATCTGAAAACTAAGCATCTCAATAAATAAAAACAAATATATTTCAAATCAGGTAACGCCAAATTCCGGTCTGAAGGAAGTATGGTTTGAATTCATTTCCCTCAGTCATTGGGTGCGTTTTTTGTCACACTCCCTTCTATCAAGTCATTGTGAGTACCAGAGAGGGAAACAGACGGCATGTGTGTTAGACTGGTAGCTTTCAGGAATGGGGTCATAATATTTTGTAACTTAAACCGTTGAAACGCTAGAGGCAAATTCATATTATTATAATTTTTAATGATAATAATAACAATAAAAATATGCCACATAGGTGCTAGAAACCACAGTGCTTGTCATTTTGGCACTGAAAGCCAGATTTTTGAAGGGATTTTTTTGCTGATCTTTTATTAATGTTCAGAATTGATCAAAGGGCCAGTATAAATTAATAAACGAAACGGATCTGTCCCGCGGGCTGCCAGTTGAATATCCCTGCACTACACAGTCTAATTTTTGACCACATGGCTGCTAACATTGAGAGAGTTATTTGGATTGCAGGAGAAATTATTTGTGCCACTTAAATATTAGCCAGGAAGAGTTCAATATTGAACCACTATATTGACGTTTACACATTCACAGTGATTCGACCTATCATCGGCTGCATGGCCTTCAATCATGGCTGCTTGTGTTGATGAATCTTCCACCCACTGGACATTATGAAACATAAAATAGGTCCCACAAAATTACAATCAAAATGGAAGAAACTGAGTTCTTTAAATGACAGGGCATTTACCCACCACTTGCATACAGTAAACCACTATTCAGTGTAACAAGCACTTACATTTATATAATTGAAATATTGAGGTTTGCCCTGAAGAGGGCACAACGTCATAGCATTTGCTGAAGAGAAAAGCGAATGGGGAAAGATATGGGGATATTACAGGTGTAGGGGGATATCATTTCCACATTGCACATCTTTCTATTCCAAATAGTTAGACGACACAATCGCACTGGATTACTGAAAGACCACGTTGTATAGGCACATTTTATGATTATAACGAATTGTTGTTGTGGAAATGTAGCCTACAGCATAAACAAGCGCAAAAGAAGAAACAATGGAATGCAACGATACCAGAAATAGCCTACAATCACATCGAAACCCATTTTGAAGAATTGCCCGATATAGGCGTAAAAAAATATTGTCAAACATTCAATTGAAAACATGATTATGGCCGTGTTCGAGAGGATCAAACCCGCAACGTATCATTGGTAAATTGTGATGGACTGACTGATCTAAAAATAATAATGAGTCGTTATTTATGACGCAAGGTGATTTGTAAATCAGTCAGTAGGCAGTCATTTTGATTCTCTGGAACATGGCCAGTGCCTATATGTCAGCTTGCAGGAGAGCAACACCTTCTACGTCAGAGCGACGCTGGCAATGACCGACACACCGACTCTCCTCCTTGCCTTACCTTCTTCATCTCACAGAGAGAGAGAAATAGAGAGAGAATGAAAGAGAAGCCCTCATCAGTACCACTGCGATGACACTTCTGTAGCCTGTGACCACGGCTACAGACCATCTTCTGTCAACTCGAATTATTAATAATTAACGGTTTTTGGACCACAGTTGCACGACCGTGAGGACAACAAACAACTTTTACTCTTAACAACTAACTAACCAACCAACTACAGTCCTGTGAACATTTCGTGGGTGCGTTTGTTTCCCTTATGTCCCGAAAATCGAGCGACCATGACTATAGTCTTCATAGTATGAGCAACCTGATGGGTGAGAGGAGGAAGAAAGTGAAGGATGACGGAGAGCGGAGCCTCATCAAAGCTCCGTCCAACGCGAGCATCAACAGCCAGGCTGCCGCTGTCCCTGCCAATGCCGCTGCCGCCACCTCCACCGGGGACCTGGAGAGAGAGGCGCGTAAACACTTCCAGCAAGATGTCACACCTGCGTTTGTTTATGTTCTGGCCGCGTTTTCCGCGCTGGGTGGCTTTCTGTTCGGCTATGACACCGGGGTGATCTCGGGAGCGATGCTCCTGCTCAAGAGGGAGATGAATCTCAGCGCCCTATGGCAGGAGGTTCTGATCTCTAGTACTGTGGCTGCCGCCGCGCTGTCCGCGTTGGCCGGCGGGTTCTTGAACGGAGTTTTCGGGCGCAGGGTCTGCATCCTCCTGGCTAGTTGTATCTTCGCAGCTGGGGGAATAGTGCTTAGCGCAGCTCCCAATAAGGAGGTTCTCCTGGTCGGACGTCTCATTGTCGGGCTTGGACTGGGTAAGGTGCCTCCTTAAAATAAGTGAGACCTGTGTGCCAATAGTATCTTCATGGGCGGGCCTAACTAGTTTTGAATGTGATGGGTTATATTGCCCGAAATCTATGTAGTTATACTTAAAGGATAGTGAATACTTTATTTAGCCATATACCAAAACAATAATCAAACCAGAAGTTGCTAACTTCATCCCACTACTTTGAGACTGGCTTGTTGTCAGGGTTACTGATATCTGACTGCAGTGCCTAGGCCTATGGTAGATTTCACCCTGTTTGGCATTCAATGAGAATTCGATGTACCAAAGGTATTTATAGCAACTTCTGGGTGACTCATAGTCTTGACGTTGCCTTTGATTGGGAATGAAGATTGGCGTGTCATGCTTAGTAGAATAATGTTCATAATATGGAGTCAAACGCACATCACTTTAGGCAGGAAAATCATGTGGTAAAGTAGTGTGCCATGCTTGGAAATCATCACTGTTAAGCCTTGTCTTAGTTCTTGGCTTCATTGAGTGCAATAAGTAGAGGAATGGACAAAGGGTGCTATGCTTTGTGTGTTTTTGCTGTTTGAATGTACTAGTCATAGTCATTAGCCAATCTTTGTTTTTGTTTTGGACACCAATTAATAGACCAAGCGAGTAAGCCTGTGCAAATATGAATCAGCCTTTTATCTTTCAAGTACAAAAACTGCTCTCTCTCTCTCACACACACACACACACACACACACGCACACACACACAGAGTAGACTCTCACTATCTTCTCCCTCAATATTACCCCACAGACATATCAATCTTTCAAAACATATTGAATTGTTACTATTTTCCCAAGATTGAAAGCGGCAGTTTATCAGGCCATAGAAAGAGTTGACAGTTACATTGATATCATTTGCCTCTCCATCTCTAGGCGTGGGGTTTATTTCTGCTCATGCATTACTCATTTTGATGCCAAACCCACCACTGGTGTGTGTGGCTAAAGAGCTCTATTTTCATGTCATCCAACAAATGTAAATGCATGGAGTATGCTAAACAGCATTGTCACTTGGATTGGAACTGGTGCTTTGGTCAGATAACATGAAAATAGAGCTCTTTGGCCACACACACCAGTGGTGGGTTTGGCGTTGAAATGAGAATGCATGAGCATAAGGCTGCATACCTATTGTAAAATATAGTGGTGGACCTTTGATGTTATGGAGCTATTTTGCTCCCACATGGATATCAAGGATCTGGAAGGATTCTGTATGGAGGAATGGTCTAAGATCCCTCCCATTTTTAGAAAAAGGCTTAATGCTGTTATCCTCGCAAGGTAAGTTATTGAATGGTATTGAAAACAGGGGTGTGAGAAAAACAATTATTACTTGTTAAACGAAATCTCTTTCTCTGAGCAATTTTATTAGTATAAAATAATATAATTTCCCATTTTTTTAGCATACAATATACCTCAGTATTTTATACAGTCATTTTTGCTAATCTTTATCAAGTGTGTCAATAATTTCGGACCCCACTGTATTCCGAGCGTACCTTGTCACACGTCCAATCACATTTACATGACGGCAGGCCGGGCTCTTCATAACTTTAATTGCTTAGCATTTCTGAGGGAAAGAGGGAAGGTCATTCTTGGCGTTTGTCAGGAGGAGGCAGAAATGCGTACCTTTGACTGGTCTTTAACACAAGCCTGGGGTTTGGTCCATCTCACCATCTTGATTGGTGAGTTGACCTTTAGGTGAACACATGGGAGAGCTGGGGGAGAACTGGCCGAGTCCCAAATGGCACCCTATTCCCTTCATAGTGCCCTACTTTTGACCAGGGCCTAAAAGGCAGTTGTCCCAAATCTTTCATTCCGTCCATCCTCAACCACAGGACGTGGGTGCTCACATCACACGATGATTCCCTAATTGATCTTGCACTGCATTTCTCAGTTGTCGTAGGAAAAAAATGCCAACACGCAAACAGCAAGCTGCTTTATTATTGTGCACGTTATTATGTGCAGAAACATAAAAAAAGAGACGGAGACGCAGAATATTGACTTAATATGAAATGATCTTCTTGGTTTCTGTCACGCAGAGGTAATATTGAAAAGGCAGTTGCGTTCTGTCCACAGCTCCACCAATCTGTCTTCCATCACCTAGGTCCACATGGTGCGTGTTGTTGCTTTCCTCTTCCCCATCATTGTTTTGGTCTCACATGCTGAGTCATCATTGGCTATTGGCAGTAGTCCTTGCCCAATTGCGTCATAGCACTTCTCATACTGCAAGGTGCACGGCCAACATTTCTAACGTCAGAAAATGATCGGGACATCCAACAGGGGTCTGGAAAACGGAACAGCCATCATCGGTGTGTCCTTGACCCGCTCAGACTAGACGCGTCCCGACGTACTGATCCTATCCCAAGTTCATTGGATTTCACCCCGATCATGAACATTTGTCTGGGACTGCAAAAACATGCCGAATTTGTGGCCAAATCGTATGTCCTGCATTAGGGTTTTATCAACATTAGGATAACATCCCAAAAACATTCACTCTCTCTCTCGCTGTCTCTCTGTCTCTTTCTGTCTGTCTGTCTCTCTCTGCCTCTCTCTCTCGCTCTCCTTTATTTTAATCCACAGTAAAATCTTTCCAACATAATAAACCCTCTTATACTCTTAATTGCATTCACAACCATGTGTTTGGTTCAATTATTTGTTCTGTTCTCTGCTTGTGTATGAAAATAAAATGACTAACATGTGAAATGTGGATGTAGAGGAGCAGCCGTTGACAGAAGAGCAAACAGAGTAGAACCTTCTATCAATGTTGAAGCATAATAATATGCCATTTAGCAGACGCTTTTATCCCAAGCGACTTACAGTCATGCGTGCATACATTTTTGTGTATGTGTGGTCCCGGGGATCAAACCCACTACCTTGGCGTTACAAGCGCCGTGCTCTACCAGCGGAGCTACAGAGGACCACGCCAAGCATGCTCAGCTCTAGTTGTTTACTTGGTGGTGTTACTCACTGGAGGAACTGGGTATGCATGCTTTTGCTCCAGCCCTGTATTAACACACCTGACTGAAATATTAAACTAATCAAAGACCTCATTCTGAGTCTGGACCATGATCAGCTGAATCAGGTGTGTTAGGCTAATGCAGGGCTGGAGCAAAATATCTGCACACCTAGTAGCTCTACAGGTATAGTTGGTAACTCTATGAACCACACCTCTAGGGTTGGTCACCCTAGGTGTGTACCGTATAAACGACACCCCTAGGGCCCCTACCTTTAACAGTAGGATCCATCCCTCCATCCCTCACTCCTGGGTTTCTAAAAAAAATGAATGAAACGCCAATAAAACTTATCACGTCTCCCAGATATTGATTAACCCCAGCCGGTGTCGTATAACGGCGAGGCTGCATGGTGAATCAAGCTGTTCCCATGGCAACAGGTAGTTACGTCGTCTGCCGGGCGACTGAAGGAGGGACAGGAAGCAGTGCACTGTGGGTGCTATTAATAGTCCCTTATCGGTGTGGCGCAGAGTGGAGCGGTGATGTCACGGCCCTTGTCGGATGAATCCGGGCAAACACATGTTGTTTGTTCTAAGCAGTCAGTGTAAATATGTAGTCGTTTTGGGATGGTCTGTGGCTGCAGCAGCTGAGAACACCACTGACTTACATACTGTATAGGCTACAGTATCTCTGATGTAGTGGATGCACTTGAGATCTACGTTGTACACCTGGTTACAGAGATGACTGATGTTGTGGTTGATGTTGTTTAGTCTGTCAGACATGATTGATGTTGTTTACAATGATGAGGGCTCTTTAGTGCCCTAATGGCTAGTGTGTGATTGGTGCAGCAGCTCTGTGGTTGAGTGTTTTGATTGGTCAGGTTCTCTAGATGAGGGATGTGGCTGAGGACACTCAGATTCCACTTGATTGACAGATGTGGAGAGGATATGTTGTTTAATGCCTAACTCAGACCCTGTACCACTGTACTTGTATTAGGTAAACCAGTGAACTGAACTAATCATAAAAGCTGAATTTACACTTATCCATAAACGTTGACTGTACTGTATGCTCTGGGGTAAAGTTTCCTCTAGGTGCAGATCTGGTATCAGCTTCCCCTCCCCCAATCCTAACCTTAACCGTTAGTGGGGAAACTGATCTGAGATTAGCGTCTAGGGGCATCTTCACCCTACACTGTACAGTTTTACACTCCTCATCGGGTCTTCCCTGTCCCTGTCCCTATCCCCTATCCACATGAGTAGGTATTGCGTCCATGACGGTGCCAGTGTACATAGCTGAGGCATCTCCCCCCCACCTGAGAGGCCAGCTGGTGACAGTAAACACACTGTTCATCACGGGAGGTCAGTTCACTGCCAGCATCATAGACGGGGCCTTCAGCTACCTACGCCACGATGGATGGAGGTGAGACACACACACACACACACACACACACAATTGCTGTACATGCCTCTTCTTTGAATATCTCAATGATTTTACATGGTACATCATTTACCACACTTACATCAGGGTTGAATTGAGAATGCCTCATATATTCCAATTAAATTCTTGAATTTGAATTGGATTTGAATTGAAGTAAGTAGTAAACAGGATACAGAATTGCAATTCGAATTTGAATTAAAGGAAATATAATTTAATTCACTGAAATTCAAATGCTTCTATTCTAAACTGACTGTACAAAATATTAACATGCTGGCCCATGTTGTCCTTTGGGTGGTGGACCATTCTTGATGCATGCAGGAAAATGTTGAGCATGAAAAATCCAGCAGCGTTGCAGTTCTTGACACACGCAAACAGGTGCCCTGGCACCTACTACCATACCCCGTTCAAAGGCACTTAAATATTTTTTCTTGTCCATTCACCCTCTGAATGGCACACATACACAATCCATGTCTCAAATGTCTCAAGGCTTCAAAATCCTTCTTTAACCTGTATCCTGTACCTGCAGGGACCCGTGTAGCTCAGTTGGTAGAGCATGGCGTTTTCAATGCCAGGGTTGTGGGTTCTATTCCCACGGGGGGCCAGTATGAAAATGTATACACTCACTAACTGTAAGACGCTCTGGATAAGAGCATCTGCTAAATGACTAAAATGTAAATGTATCCCCCCTCATGTACACTGATTGAAGTGGATTTAACAAGTGACATCAATAAGGGATCATATCTTTCACCTGGTCAGTCTATGTCATGGAAAGAGCAGCACTCAGTGTCTACAAAACACAAGACAATCACGTTTTTGACTGCACTGGGCCTTTCGCTTCTTCATATTTTGGTCTGTCTACAGTAACAAGGTTTCAGTGGGATATAAAAGGTGTTAGGATAACTGTTGATTTCTGAGACAGACTGTATTGGGAATGCTTCCAAGTGGTGTGCTAGTACAGACATTGAAATGTAGCCAACTAGTTTCAGTAAGTTTTTATATTCATCCATCTGTCATCTGTGAATCATTTCACATCAGATGGCAGGTCCAGTCTGGACTAGTAGTTCAGATCAGATCAGTGTAAATGTCAGCAGCACAGATGTGGATCCTCATCCTGCCTCCAGCTGATGGAACATTCACTCAGAGCAGAGCAGGGATATGTTCAAAAGATAACATCAGCTTATTTCTTATTGTAAATCTAAATGCTACGTTGTCGTCTAATAAAATGTGCTTTAGCTAGGCTCAAACACAGCCTCCCACTGTTTTTAGATATGAGTGGCACTGGCACATTGTAAAATGAGTATTGATTTGTCTTGCTATAGGTCGTTATTCAGAACAGCTTCCTTGAACTTGCCACAGCTAATTGTCAAGTGCTGGATTTAATTGAACTTCTCTAAAAGCGGTAGCTGTCAGCGTGTGTGTCCTTGCATTGTTATTTTTTTTTACTGATTTTTGTGTCACCTCTGAGTCCTTGAAAGTTTAGTTTTAATTATGTGCTCTGCTCTGTGGGAGACCTCTATTTGACAGTCAAATGAAAAATGTTCAATGACACAACAAAGTTGTTACGTTAGGCTATTATTCACAATGTTGTTAGCCTGGTATTGATTTGATGTGGGTCCTGAGAAATTAAATCAAATCAAATTTTATTTGTCACATGCTTCGTAAACAACAGATGTGGACTAACAGTGAATTGCTTACTTACGGGTCCCTATGCATTGTTGGAAAATGACCCATAAAAAAAGGACTAACTTACTGTCGGTGCATATGTACCAACTTAATAATTATCATAAAAAACAAACTTCATTACCATCACAATAAACTTAAAAGGGGGCAACAGTCATAATATTATTGGCTTAAGAGCCAATGTGTATTATTTAACATTTTAAAATAGTCCTCACTTATAGGAATGGGTAATTGTTTAAAAGTTGCTAGATATCCCATAAAGCCATCACCGAAAACACATATTTTCATCTTCTGTGTTTTTTTTGGTAACTACCTGTTCTTCGACGGACTCTGGCTAGACTGCAGATGACACAACGTTTGGAACATTTTAAAGTATGCGGCATCTGTCTCGCAACGGAGCCGTCAACTGCAAGGGGGCATTGCCATTCCACTCCATTGTGGACCTCCCAATTGAAGTGCATGACATCCGGCGCAACGTAACGGAGTATTTAGGGGTATTGTGAACAAGGCTTAAGTAGACTACAGACGTGTATGCTGGAACATTGCTACATTGTGGGAGGCAACCCATCAGTGGTCCCTGCTATGCTCCAGCTCATGGGGTTTCTCCTCTCACCCTCAGATGAAACAGCTAATTTCTCTCCTCTCTTTTTCCATCCCTCACCTCCATCCCCTCTCCCCCCTCTCTCCCTGTCCTCTCCTCCCCCTCTCCAGGTATACTTTATGTTGGGTCTATTGGTGGTTCCTGCTGTGCTGCAGTTCATGAAGTTTCTCCTCTCAAAGATGAAACAACTAATATATTACATTCTCTCTCTCCCTCGCTACCCCCTTTCTCCCCCTTATCTCCTCCCCCTCTGCAGGTGGGCCTGCCAGTGGTCCCTACTGTGCTCAGGTTCATGGGAGAAGAATCAACTAATATATCGCTCTCTCCCTCTCTCCATCTCTCTCTCTCTCCCTCCCTCCCCCCCTCCCACCTCTCTCTCCCCCTCTCCTCCAGGTATATGTTGGGTCTGTCGGTGGTCCCTGCGGTGCTCCAGTTCGTGGGGTTTCTGTTCCTGCCAGAGAGCCCCCGCTGGCTTATCCAGAAAGGCCTTACCCAGAAGGCCCGGCGCGTGCTCAGCCAGATTAGAGGCAATCAGAACATAGACGAGGAGTATGACAGCATCAAGAACAGCATCGAGGAGGAGGAGAAAGACTGCGGAGGAGGTGAGAGGGGAGCAGGAGGTGCAGGAGAAGCACACACATATACACACACATAAATGATTAATAAATGAATGAACGCATCAACGAACATGCCCATGTGCCCCCTGTCTCTCTCTCTCTCTCTCTCTCTCTCTCTCTCTCTCTCTCTCTCTCTCTCTCTCTCTCTCTCTCTCTCTCTCTCTCTCTCTCTCTCTCTCTCTCTCTCTTTCTCTCTTTCTTTCTCTTTCTATCTCTCTCTCTCTCTCGCTCTCGCTCTCGCTCTCTCTCTCTTCTCTCTTCTCTCTGTGCCCAGATGAGAAAGCTTTATTTGGCTGTTATATAATTTCTATTACACTCCCATGATGTTGGACAAAACAGTTAGCCTCTTCTGAGAGTCACAAAACTGCACTAAAAGTCAGTCTGTCAGAGCCAGGCAACTCAGAATAGACTCCGAATAGACCAAGGACATTGAAAAAAAAGCTCTGTTTTTCTATGAACATTTTCTGAAAGAAGCGTATTTATGGTAGTCACTGTGGCTCAAGTGAAGGTCAGTGCTAACGTGAATGTATATGTGTGAGCGTATGAGAATATATGGGTCAAGGCATGGCCATAGACCTAAGCACTGAATCAAACTCAATGAAACCACCATACATGGAAAACCGCACATATCCACTTGTTGACATGAATAGCTGATATACACATATATTGAAAGTAGCCTATATGGACAACCAATGGTTAGATGAATTAGTGTTTTGTACTGCATTCTCAAGTCAATGACATTGTATACAGTAAGGTCAGTCCAGCCTTGAGCACATTTATTAACTCTTATTGATCCAATGACACCAAGCCATCTCCTGAAAAGAAAGGAGAGGGAAAATAAAGGAGAGGAGAGGTAAACGTGCATAATTCCTTTGTTCTGTAATTAACCCTTCCTGTTAGTCCTTCAGAAAACACTAATTGAGTACCTCACGCTGGAAGTGGGCCATAATAGGGGAGCCTTAGCCAATCAGAGTGCGGTCAGTGGGGCCACAATTCAAGAAATAAATAAAAGACTCCCCTGGCAGTAAATTGTAAAATTGTGTTGGGGGGATAGGCTCACAGCTGGGAAAACAAGTACTTCCTTTGCCCCCTTGCTCCCTGACGTCTCTGTTTCCATGATAACCTCACCCCTTCCTGTCTCCATCACCTCTGATGTGATGATAGTGAGTGTCACTCTAACCACCAGTCACTCATCCACCCATACACAGCCTGGATGAAGAGCAATAATAAACACAATGACACATACAGAGTGACAGGGCTACATAATGGCAATAACAACAACATCAGAACATAGTCCTATCTGTATCAGTCAATTCTCTCTGGATGAAAGGACAATACATTACAGAGACACATACAGGGTGACAGAGCAACACAACATCAATAACAACAACAACACAACTAACAACAAGATATGTATCAGTCACTGCTCTCTGATCTCTGTTTCTCTTTGTTATAGTATATCTTATTAAAGCATTGGGCTACCATCTCTGGTGTAGAATATGTTTGAAATGCCCATCATGGATGACTTTTCTGTAATCTTAGTACTACTAAGATAATCTTTCATCCAAGATAATCTTTCCTAAAATGATCTTATCTTAATCCTATACGAAGCTTCCAGGAAACTCACCCCATGTTTTTATTCAGGCCTACTGAACTGATTATATCTACATAGATTAACCTCTTTTTTACCTGGCGTATACGGCTGGGAACAAGCCTATTGCCAGTCAACATGATAATGTTTTCCTCTTTAAAAGAGTGTTTTATCTCAGCGTTAGACGGAGCAAAATAGAAAAAGGGGGGAGAAGAAAGAGAGGGGGAGAGATAGATAACAGAGAGAGAGAGCAAACAGATTCTCTTCCAGCTAGGGAGAGAATTAGAGAAGCTGAGAAAAGAGAATGTGAGGTTTAGATAGAGAGGGACGAGTGAAATGAGAGGCTTTTATTTTTAGCTAAAGCTTTCTTTGACATCAGCTTAACTGTTTTGACAACCAGCGAAACATGAGTAACTGACATGATGTGGATTGATGTACTATATGTAGCCTACACTCTTAGAAAAAAGGGTTCCAAAAGGGTATTTCGGCTGTCCCCATAGGAGAACCCTTTTTGGTTCCAGGTAGAACCTTTTTTGCTTCCAGCTAGAACTCTTTTGAGTTCCATGTAGAACCTTCTGTGCAAAGGGTTCTACATGGAACTCAAAAGTGTTCTACCTGAAACCAAAAAGGCTTCTTCAAAGGGTTCTCCTATGGGGACAGCCAAATAACCATTTTAGGTTCTAGATAGCACCTTTTTTTCTAAGAGTGTATGTACTGCATATAGTACCAATAATCTATTACATTTGTAAAGCGCTTTTCATTATACAGAATAATCTCAAAGTGCATAAAATAAACCACACACATTTTTTTTTTTTACACAAATAGACAGGGCAACTGACACAAAGAACACAGCTGACACTACAAGGGACAAAGACACCAATGAGCACAGCTATCAACAGAAAACCTTCCTAAGGATAAAAGTCTTTAGGCCTGTTTTAAAGGAGCCCATAGTCTGTGGTGCCTTCAAGTGGTCCGGGAGGGCATTCCAGAGGCTGGGGGCGGTCGAGCTGAAAGCCCAATCCCCCAAGGAGCGGAGCTTGGTCCTGGGGGCATGGAGGAGCAGGCTATCGCTTGACCTGAGGGTGCGGGTGGGGTTATGGAGGGAGAGCAGTTCTTTGAGATAAGGAGGGGCATTGCCATCCACGGCAATTTCCCCATTTTATTCGTAATTGCCATTTTGCTCTCAATGGCTGCTGTGCTTTCAGGTATTGGAATGATGCAGTATGTCATTCTTAATGAATGCAAGGTATGCTACTATATTTGTTATCTGCTCGCTGTACAAATTTACAATGAGGTTTTATGAAATATTCCTCCCTCTCTCTCTCTCTGTATTTCTCTTCTTTCTCTCTATTTCTCTCTCTCGCTCATTCTCTCTCTCTCTTTCTCGCTCACTGAGATGTGGGGAGAAGAAGCAGATGAGATATTAGATGAGATATTACACAGATAGACATTAATCCAGGATATAGAGAGTGTAGCATAAGTCATGCCCCTTCTCCTGCTCCTCTTCTGCTTAATTCATAATTTACCGTTTTAACATTTTATGGAATCCTGTTGGTTGGTGCCTTAGATCTGATTAAATCATGTATCTGTTGGAACTTCATTTATGGGAAAATTATGGGAATATAAGGTATATTTAGAATTGCATAATGAGAAATGAGGGAATACAGAGAAGCACCTAGGAAAATGTGGACTTTTATGTAATGTAGATGTTCAAATAGATTCCTTCAGTCATTAATGCATGAAGATGGGATGCATCCCAAATGGTACCTTATTCCCTATATAGCCCCATAGGACTGGTCAAAATTACTGCACATCTGGTACACAGACATGAACTCATTCACCCGTTGTATTATTGTCTTATTATTCTGTAATTTGGATTTAGTATTAGGCATGTCGTGGTGTGTAACAGTCGAATGACACCCATGTTCATTTCCTAGCTGAATTATCTGGAGACACCGGGGGATTTGCATTGTTATTTGAAATAAGGGATAATTTAATATTAACTTGCTAGCGGCGTTATCTTCTAATTCAGATCAGCTAATCGAGTTTTGAATGAATATTACTTCTCTTCCACTCTCATTTATTCTGTTTTATTTTTAAGCCCAAGGGAAACAATTTCAAGACAAACTGAATTAGTTTATCTTGCCGAATATGTTTTCAATGATTTTACCCGTAAATATATTTGACACGTGGATACAAACAACAATTTTCACAGACATCAACTATTACCTACTTTATGATATTAGAAGAACTGGTATTGTACAGAGAGGGCCATTAAATTCAACAAAGATCCCAATGGTGTCATTATGTAATGATGTAAAGGAAGCATTAGAGGAGAATGGAAGGCTATGAAAGGCTAGAGGACAGCTATTACAGATGATCTCTGTCAAAGCAGATGAAAGCAGAATGAGTGAAGATTGATGACTGACCTTTTGTGTTGAGATGTGAATGAAGACAGCTATACTCTCACTCTCCACCAGTCTGATACTTGCCCACTTAAAACTCTCTTCCCCTCTGATATTTGAGGTCTGTCATATCCCATAGCTCAGGGTTGCAGGTGGATTGGAAATTATTTTTGCATTGATTCACCCATATCCACTTTTCCAATTAAAGTATTTGTTTAATGAATATTACATCCTTAACAGTACAAAGAACCCAATGAGCCATAATAATAGCCAACCAAGAACAACCTACGCACAAACCACTCTGTACTCAAATGGCTCCTAATAGACACAGGTTATTAGCTCTTCAATGATCTCAGCATACTTACATCACAATATTAATTATTGCTAAGTCACAAGAGAACATTGTGTGAGTAGTAATATCCAGAGTTGTAAATGATGCGGAAGGAACACCACAATGTTCTTCTCTCTCTTTTCTCTCTCTCTCTTTCTGTCTCTCTCTTTCTTTCTATCTCTCTCTATCCCTCTCTCTCTCGATCCCCTGCCATTTGGATCACATTTACGGAGCCATTATTATTATTTTTTTGTTAGGGGCTGTATCCCACACCCTGGCACAGCTCTCTCTCTACCATTTGCATTGGGGCAGGTGTTAGTCTGGAAACCATGCATCTCAATGAGTGATTACATTTTTCTTTCCAGACGAACCACATAATGGGCCCAGATATTACCCTCTACCTCTAGACTCCCAGCTCCTAGCCAGAGCAACACCTTAGGGGACTGAGTTGATTGGTTGAAACTGGAGGTGTGTGTGTGTGTTGCTCATGTGTTTTTGGAACAGTTCACATGTGATCACGTGAAATTCATGTGCTGTACCCAGAGATAGCCCAATGTCTGCTTTGATTGAATGGATCAATTTGACCATTGATTTTTGTCCTGTTTTTGTGGAGAAAATGCTTTTTTTTGTCTTCTGAAAGCACCATAGAATGCCTTCTTTTAAAGGGCCCAAAGTGACTTTGTAGCAGACATCTTTTAGCAAGGTTTCAGA